TGATGCTGTTTCTGATAGCGAGGATTCGGCCCCGTCCTTGCAATAGGTTTATCTTCCGACAGACTGATGCTGTTTCTGATAGCGAGGATTCGGCCACATACTTACAATAGGTTTATCTTCCGACAGACTGATGCTGTTTCTGATAGCGAGGATTCGGCCACATACTTACAATAGGTTTATCTTCTGAGCGCCAGTATATTTATACTGTGTTTTTGTACATATAAGTCAATAAATGCAGTAAAGCTCAGCGAGTCTTTACTGAGAAATACACAAAAAAGTTCATAACATACACGTGAAGAGAATGTGGTGAGAAATGAAGAACAACGGTTATTTTCCTGGAAGACATTTCCAAGTTCATTAATTAAATACTGTGGTTATCACACTTTCTAATCACATTACTTTAGTGGATACTTAGTCTATTTTAAGTAAAGTTCCTAGAATATCCAGTAAAATATGACTGGACTAGATCATCTGTTTCATATTAGGATAGTTAGCATATGCAATGGTAACAAATTACGTTATCTTTATAAGTACCTAAGATAAATATATTTAATTCGCTATACTCATTACCAGAAGTTAATATTCACAGGTTTAAATCTTTTTAAAGACCCATCTAGCATTGAAATTCTGTGTTTATCCAATTATACTCATAAATGTAAGTTATAATATTATTTTTCTTGAGGTCTAAACTCAATTGTATTTACATTTACCTAACTTATTGTCGTAGTGTATTTTATAGCTGTCCTAAAACACGCACTATCTGAAATAACATAAGCTGTGACACAACCGTATGATAGTCGACACTTACGCCGAAACGTGACGCACAAAAGTTTTATGATATCTTTTTTACTTATAGTGGTTTCTTTTAACTCCTTTTTTTTCCTGTTCGCTAAGAGATGAATTCGAGAATAGATTCCTTACGTAAAATTGCAGTTCATATAAGATTTAAACACATCCACTCATGAACGAAAAAAATATGTTTTGTAAATCTCTAAGATATGCAGAGCTGAATTACTTTGTCTCATTAGATATTTTAAACTGCCAAACATTGAAAAAGTGCTCTATATTTAGCAGAGATATGCGAGCACGTGATTTGTTTAAGTATTATCGTGATATTTCTGCTTTAAAGTCCATCGTTAGTGATAAAGAAAAGCTTAATGACACTGGTTGCATGGGTTAGAGAAACCCAATGCTGGATAAAATCGAAAATCTGTTCATACAATAATAGTCTACTATTTATATACAAACATATTTTTATAGTTATGGATATTTTGGTGTACTTGTCTATAAATGTTCGTTTTAATGATGTTTGAAATATCGTCTATACTAAATCAATATATTGTATAATTATTACGTCAGCAGTCTTAACGAGACAAAATCCAATGCTCTAAACAACAACACTATATTGGATTAAAGGCAACATTCAAATTCGGCTAATAGTTTCTTATAAGAACGACTAGCATTTTAACGCTAAAAATGCAACCCCTGAAGATTAAACAACAATCTTCAGGAGCGCCCCCAGTAGCAAAGCGGTATGTCTGCGGACTTACAACGCTAGAATCCGGGATTCGATACCCGTTGTGGGCAGAGCACAGATAGCCCATTGTGTAGCTTTGTGCTTAATAACAAACAACAACACCTTGTTTGTTATTAAGCACAAAGCTACACAATGGGCTATCTGTGCTCTGCCCACCACGGGTATCGAATCCCGGATTCTAGCGTTGTAAGTCCGCAGACATACCGCTTTGCTACTGGGGGCGCCCATGAAGATCGTTAAACAGTAACATGAAATGTTAGTTCGGCCCATAATAACATGTACATTTCCTAAAAATGTCAAGCTGAGGGCAACTTTGAAAAACTAATCTATACAATTAACAAAGATCACTGTATAATGTATCTGATGTGTGGTGACAACGATGGTTATTTTGGAAGAAATTTGATGACAAAACGAAACTCGTTTCTTAAATTAAAAACCAAATTTTACAGTGATGAGGAGTTTAGTAGAAAAAGACAAGAATTTCATGTCACAAAATTTGATGTTTATTGTTTATCATTTCAACTTAGCGTATATGATACAGTTATACCAAGCTATATATATATAGCTATATATATATTTAGTACAGTCAATGACCATACATACACACAAATACATTAATATACACCGGTAAAAGTGTCAACTCCAACTGGGTCTGTAATGGTAATAAATATCCAATACCCCCAGACATTAAATAACCAAAGTGCAAAGAATATAACTCTACTTTTTAGTGAAATTTGTTGTTGGTGTTAATGACATCACATTTTCAAAAGAGCCACGTGATATTTTGATTTAAGCACAAACTTAAGCTTTAACTATTCAAACACTTAGCATCATAAGTGGCCTCTTTCTGTCCTTGTCGGGGACGAAACCTAGATCCTACACGACATGCATAAGTTAAATATTTTGTGAGTTTAAACTGCGAATGGAAACTTTTAACACATGTCCATGTGTATAAAAATATACCAGTTTTGGTATTTGAAATTTATTTATAATCCACGCCTGATTAGCATCAGTTATTAAACTTTTACCAAACAAGCATTCTGAAAAACTAACTAATGTTTACACCGATCATTATCTCAAGAATGCCTAAATCTTCAGGTTCGTGTAATACACACACAGAATCACTTGCTAATCCGTCTTTCATTGTTTACAGGATAATCTTGAATTTTACTCTATCACCACGCTTTATCTAAGAATACGAATCTTCATTAATATAACATCAAATCTGTTGTCGCTGAGTGTTTCACGTTTCTTCAAACGGATATTTGAAATTCCCTGACAGCTGCAGGCGTGTATGTATTCTTAGACTTTTAGTGTTGTTTTCTTTCTTTTTTTTTTCATCTGACGGTAAAACAAAAATTTTGAAATACTAATCAACATGAATTACGTATTTAAACACGCAACTTATAGTGGGTTTTTTGAGAAATGAACGTCAACCGTCTTGTAAAAGGGTAAAATGCTAATTATTAGGAGCTAGCGCAGCCGAGTAAATAAGAACATAACGTCTTCCCACACAACATCACCTATCTTAAAACTAACACAAGATTGTTTACTTCAATTCGTATATGTCAGTAAAGTTAAGTTTATATTTAAGGTAACCACAGACAGCTTGGTAGATTTACTCGTTTTTCGTAACAAAGACACACACACACACAGAGATAAAAGATGGAGATTTTAAACGTAAAAAACAACAACAAGTGGAACAGTATAGTATGTAAAAAGATACAGAGATAAATAGGATATGTTCAACTAACCGCAAGTTCTTAAGAGTTCCATAAAACTATCTTCCATATTTTAGACATTAAGAGAAGAGACTCGGTTTTGAAAATATATATTTTCTAAAATTTTGAAATCTAAAAATAAACTATCATATTAGAGAATGGTTTAGAAATAAAATCATCTAAATTTTTTCAATCACTTGTCAAACACATTCATCTATAGGAAACTTGTAAGTATACATATATAAGTTTGACCATCACATTATCAACTATTTTAAAGAAAAGCGTAAATATTTCAAATATTTAATCAAGCGAAACTTATAGAAAATGGATCAATTTTTCTTGTAAATCATATAAAAAAACCACACAAATTAATTTCAATTTGCAGTGTTTTTTGGTTTGTTTTTTATTGGTAGATATTCAAATTATATAACTTATAAGCTTATGTCACAAAATATCACTCTGATTGGTAGACACTGTGATGTGTATCCAAGTATCATGCGTCTATATAAAAGCTCTTTAGGCGCTTAGCCTACGCCATATACACTATAATTTTTCTCATGTAATATTAAATGTTTTAACAGGAATTCGGTATAAGACGATTCAAAAAGGTCACATTTCTTAATATTTTCTGAATGAAAAGTTTTACAGCCGAAAACTGTGAATTTTCTGTTCTTTATAAAGCTTTTGAATTCCGTTTCAGATCTTCACAAATTTACCTCTCGCAAGCAGGTATCTATGGTTCGATGTTTGATACTCTCTGTACAAATTTTCAATCTCTATTGTTATTTAAAGTACTTTTCGGCTTCCAAATTTCTGACACACATTTCCATAATTTGATAAACACGAATAATGAAGTGATTACAAGATATTAACACAATTTTGTACACATTTATTTATTTATTTTGATTTCAAATAGCGTGTAATTGGTATTAAAAGTTCATTTCAAGATGATTATTTATTAGTTACATTATATTAAAATAAATTAAGCAGTTTGATTCGACAAAAATTAAAACATAAACATAAATAGGTCATTTTAACTTCTCACCCATACAAGATGAGATAAATAAGAATACGTCAATTGGAAAAATTCATAATACAGAACCACACCTGAATTTATTTTTAAAAAATACTTTTTTCGTGAATCTTTACTTTGCTTATGAATATTCGTAATATTGATATTTCAGACTCATTATGTTTAATAAAAACGACACTAACAACTTTGTAATTTTAAGATTCATGATCATCACTAAACAATAATAGTTTTATTATGAGTGCTCTTCCCTCTCGTCATTTGTCACTAAACAATAATAGTTTTATTATGAGTGCTCTTCCATCTCGTCATTTGTTACTAAACAATAATAGTTTTATTATGAGTGTTCTTCCATCTCGTCAATTGTTATTCTATTATTCTACTGTGTCCTAAATCATATTTTCTGTAAAATTACTTTTAACACTGATAACACAGGCCTGCAAATTCAAGCTTTATAAAAGTTGTTTCGGTTTTAATAACAGATTTTTTATAATTCAGCTACGCAGATTTCGAAAAATAATATTATTATTTTTTCTATCAGATAATTTTTTTTTACAAATGGGGAAGAAAAATCTCTAACTTAGATCAAATTATTATTTCGTTTACCACAATGAACTGAAGAAAAGAGAAGAACATTGATGTCAAACGAATATGCATCCACATTCATCCTGATTTTTTTTGTGTGTGAAATCTACATCTTTTAGTCTCAAAATTACATGTTGTGGTCTTTCTTTTATGTATT